GTAGCTGGGACTACAGGCATGCACCACCATGCCCAGCTAATTTTTTCTGTATATTTTTAGTTGTCCAATTAATTTCTTTCTAATTTTAGTAGAGATGGGGTCTTGCTCTTGCTCAGGCTGGTTTCAAACTCCTGAGCTCAAACAATCCGCCTGCCTCGGCCTCCCAGAGACCTAGGAGACAGATTATTTTTTAAACTTTCTCAGAGAGAAATTTGTTCATATGCTGGAGTCTAAAAAGAAATGTTAGGATATTAATATAATACAGATGCAGTTTCATCTGAGTTCAGCTTATATAACTTGGGTCAAATCTGTTAAGTAACTTTGATATACTAAAATCTAGACAATCCCATAAAATTACACTCTATATATTATATGTGGTTAATAATCAGTAAAATCAGCCTTCTTCAGCTTCTTCACTCACTACCTTTAAAATTTTAGTTGTCTCCTTCTTCAATAAGGCAATAAAAAGCAAAGAAAATGTCCAGACCAACCTGGTTTCTGTACTTTCTTTGGTTCTTCATCGTCCTTGTTTTCTGGATTTGGAGATTCTACAAAGCTGATTTCTTCTGTGACACTTTCCCCCTCCTGGCTCTTGAGGCTGTCTTCCTCTTCTTGAATATGGGTTTCCAATTCTGATTCTTCCGAATCAAGAAATATCTGACCAGCGACTACTCTGCCTGTGGTGGTATGGTCCTTTACTGACTCATCTGATGGCAAAGAAGTCTGAGAATATAAAGTATCTTTAGTTATCAACAATACCAAGAATCTCCCCAGCTTCGTTTGACCATTCCTTTTACTAATCCTAGATATCATGTCTCCTTCAGCTCCTTGAAGTGTTACACTCATCCATCTCTATCAGCTTTAGCATGTGTTTGTCACATGCCTTCATCACCTGCCTAACTCTTACTCTTTCTTCGAATTTCAACTTAGATGTTATTTCCCCCAGGAAGCCTTCCTTAATTCCCAGAGTCTAGGTTGGGTTCTCCCCCTACATGCTCCCAACATATCTTATACTTCCCCTGTGATAACCCTGTATTGTAATTTCCTACTTTTATCTTTATTCCCTCAAATCTAGAGATCAGAGCTCATAACTGATTGGCCTTCTTGGATATCTAAGAATCAGCTTTATTCATTTAATCAATCAATAAGCATATTAACTCATTAGATTTTTTTTTTTGATAATTGCTAAGTGGAAATAAATGGCAGAGGTTAAGACTTCAAAATTGAAAGAAACTAAAAACTCAAAAAAAAAATCAATCTCTCATTAGGCAGTATAAATTGTAGTGTTTTAAGCCTTTTACACACACATATATACACACACACGCACACACACACACACTGAACAGTCAAGTTGAAATTAAACCAGTGAATACCCTTAATGGAAATATTTGCTGTTCTCTCTGGTAGGTGAGTGGTATTTTTTTCCCCCAGAAGAACTAGAACTAATACTGATACCATTTATCTTCTTTTGTTCTTTTTAATTCAATTCTGTTACTCAAAAGATGCAGATTTCATATCCTTTCTAAGGTACATAATTTATGCTTTTAAGTTGGGTAGAAAATACTGACAAATACAAATTTTGGTACACACCTTGGAGTCTAAGGAGTCATCCTGGTTGCCTTCTTCATCTGTAAAGAAATTTTAAGACAATTTAGTCATCTTCCCTATTGGGAAAGTATAGGTACTATTAAAAGAAAGCACAATATACATGGCAAATAAATACAGCAAATAATAATCAGACACTGGATAAGTAAACGTAGATTTAAAATTTGGTTGTATTCAAAAATTATTCAGAAAAGGTTAAGTGAAAGGAAAAAAATGGGTTGGGAGGGTATTCATAGTTTTTTTTCTTTCTCCAGGGAAGACATTAGCTTCATCTGTTACAAACGTAGGAAGACCAATAGCTCCCACCACCAAAAATAGATACTTCTTCAGATTCCATCCAGTTCTTGTGTGTATAGTCTATTACTGAGAATGAGTTACTAAATTCATAAAAATATATCTCTAATTTCATACTCCAGGCATCCACCTATTCTGTTCCTCTGCTCAGAACTTGGAGTTACAGTACCACTTATTTTAGTGCTACTACAATAAGTAGCACTTATTTTAGTACTAGTTAGCATTTTATTACTACTGAGGATGGAAACTAGGAATAATAATTTTTTTTTTCAGAGATTGGGTCTCTATCGCCATGCTGCCCAGGCTGGTCTTGAACTCCTGGCCTTCAGTGATTCTCCTGCCTCAGCCTCCCAAAGTGCTGGGATTACAGGGATGAGCTACTGCACCCAATCTATTATTATTATTTGACAGCTGAGTTGCCAGGAAAATACATTTAGGATTTGTGTTTTACTTCACTAAGAGATAACCAAATACAGATAAATAGTAGCATCATACTATTATGTATTCACTCACATTAGAGCTATGTATTAAGAAATCAATAGCTTATATTAAATAAGTCACAAACTCAGCCACTAGTTACACCTTTCTTCCAAATTTATAGTCTGCTTTGGTTTTGTCTGATTACGTTAATTTTCCTTCTATTATTCTTTCTGTGTTTTCCAGATATTACTTCTATTCTGGCTGCTTGTTATTCTTTTTCTTGCTCTTATGTAAACACATGCACAACTCAATTTCCAGACGCAAATGTTAGATCTTTGTATTCCTTGCCAGTTTAAAACAACGAATCTGTCAGATGCTAAATTTCTTCATTGCTCTTAAAATTACTTGATTTTATCCAGGAGTGATTCAGTATTGTCTGCTCCATAAGCTATGTGAGAAATTAACCAGTAGACAAAATGCTGTATGACCATGTGATTTTTACTAGAAAATTAGGAATTATAGTTGCCATTTATCTTTACTTCATATGGTTATATCCCAAATATTATTTGTAACTTATAACTCTCTAAAATATAACAAAAATATGTTTTGGAGGTTGTTACCAAAGGACTGAGCTGACTTTAAGAAGTATAACCAACTCAATTACGCACAAAACACAGAACTATCTTACAATATTTGTTTCTTTTTTTTTACCCCTCCCATTTCTTTTGAATATTTGAAAAAAAAGAGTCTACTAGGCCGGGCGCGGTGGCTCACACCTGTAATCCTAGCACTCTGGGAGGCCGAGGCCGGCGGACTGTTCGAGCTCAGGAGTTTGAAACCAGCCTGAGCAAGAGCGAGACCACGTCTCTACTAAAAATAGAAAGAAATTAATTGGACAACTAAAAATATATAGAAAAAATTAGCCGGGCATGGTGGTGCATGCCTGTAGTCCCAGCTACTTGGGAGGCTGAGGCAGGAGGATCGCTTGAGCCCAGGAGTCTGAGGTTGCTGAGAGCTAGGCTGACGCCACGGCACTCTAACCCAGGCAACACAGTGAGACTCTGTCTCAAAAAAAAAAACAAAAAAAAAAACAGTCTACTAATAAGGTTTTGCCAGATATGAAGGTGCTGTCGATTAAAAGAAAATTTAAATTATAGCTACTATTCACATTCACTTACTTTTAGATTATCTTCAAAGTCTGTTTTATTTTTGGTAGGTGGAAAGGAGAAGGGGTATGGTATGTATTAGTCCCACAGTGCTCATAACACTTAGTGGTAGTGAAGACAATTAACAATCGTCCTTCATGCTAACTTCTTCACAAATATCACCCAAAGCCCAAGTTCTAACAGATAGTTCAAATTCCATTCTCAGCAAATTTCAAAGGAAAAAAATTCATGTCTATTACATAGCAAAGTTGTGTGGTGTGTATAGATACATGGAGTTAATCAGAAACATTGACTAGTTAATATATCAAAAGCAGATATTAAATTTTCAAATGTATACAACATATCCCCATATACTGAAACTTTAGATTAGTTGGAACTCTAAATGACTAATCACTAAATTTAGTACCTTATCACAACAGGTCAGATAGGTAACTAATAGGTAAATATGATAGACAGCTATAAATAAATTGAAAAACATGTACATTTGAGACATTACAAGCTGTTAGGCATTAGAGTAGCAAAATGTGTTTCTGAACTCCAAGAGACATGATTTGTGACATCAGGGTTATTTCAAGTGAATTGCATCATCTTCTCTTTCTTTCTCTCCCTCTCTCTTCACAAACTAGGAATATATACTAATATTACTGGTAAATAAGAGAATTCTTTTTCAGTTACAAAACTGGCAAAGTCTACCCCAGATGGTAGTCTTAAAGCATAAGCTATTTTCTCTTTCAAACTGATATACACATTCACATGACACTTTTTAAAAAAGTTGCTTATAACCTAAGAACTTCTGATACGTAGTATTCAGGTAAAGATGAAAGAGACTGAAGTGATACATAAATAAAAAAGCAAACAGTAATGCTTTTATCAGAACACAGAAACCAAGCAACAAGAGAAATGCAAAAGGATTCAAGGAAGTTATAGATTTCTCCCTCATCAGTATCACATCCAAAATATAATGGCTCACATTACTTTATCAATTATACACCTTCCTTTGAAAAAGATCAATTCTTTTTTTTATTGTATCATCTAACAAAGCTGCAAAGTACCAGGGATATTCTTTCAGGGAAAAGTGATCATTACAAATTCATTTCCCCACCTGTCATATAAATTAAACAAATGACTTTCAAACACAGAAAGTCTAAATAGTCTGGTGAAAAGAGACAAGACATTCTGTCTTCTGCTTAGGCACTGAATCAGTGCAGATCTTAGGATAGACTTAATTCTAAATTTCTCCAACTCTGAGGCCTGGAGAGCTATGTTTGAGAGCTGGGTTCCTCACACATCAATTCTGACACACATGGTTCAAAATCAAAAGCTTGTTTGGCCTTCATTTCTCAATCTGTCAAAAGGGGATGATACCATCTGTCCTGTTGTGCCTCTCAATGATGTTTTAAGGAATTAAATAGTAAAATTAAAACTCCTCTGCAATCTGAAAACTATTCTCTAAAGTTATGGTATTAATAAACTATTGCCTGAAATACCTGGCAGTGGACCTAATTAAAAAGACATTATTTGGCACAAAGAAAAAAGAGGGTAAACCATTTTCCTCTTCCTGACAAAAATAATTTCCAAGTGAGAAAAATTATAGCCTTTTCACTATTATCTTGAGAAAATGAAAAAATATCTTATTAATCTCCTCCTTTAGATTTATTTATTCACAGGGAAAACATTTCTAATATAAGTACAGTCGTGTCACTTAACAATGGGGTATGTTCTGAGAAATGCATCATTGTATGAATGTCATAGAGTGTACTTACACAAACCTAGAGGGTATAGCCTACTACACACCTAGGTTTTATGGCATACCCTATTGCTCCTAGGCTACAAACCTGTTCAGCATGTTACTGTACTGAATATTGTAGGCAACTGTAACACAATGGTAACTATTTGTATATCTAAACATAGAAAAGGTACAGTAAAAATACAGTATAAAAGATAAAAAATAGTACACTTGTATAGAACACTTACCATGAATGGAGCTTCCAGGACTAGAAGCTGCTCTGGGTGAGTGAGTGAGTGGTGAATAAATGTGAAGGCCTAGGATGTTACTGTACACTACTGCAGACTTTATAAAAACCGTACACTTATGCTACACTAAATTTATAAAAAAATAAAGTAACTGCACTCCAACATTTTGACAGCTATGATGTCATTAGGTGATAGGAATTTTTCGGCTTCATTATAATCTTATGGGACAACTGTTTTCTATGTGGTCTTTGACCAAAATGTTATTATGTGGCACATGACTGTATTCTATTTTTATATGCCTCTGAAACAAGATAATAGGTAACAGCTAGTAACAGTGATGGAATCAAGATTCCCCTTGTTGGCTAACCATTTTCTACCTGGTAATAGACACAACTTGCCCTGGGTAACCACTAACATTCAAACACAAAATTATCACCAAAAACTTGATTTTTATACTGGAGCCAAACTTTATATCCAAACTTTTAAAATGAGGCTGAAATCCTGTATAAATAACCACTTTAATGAATAAAAATGCAGCTGAAAAATCCAGCACTTAATTTATAAACCTTTCCGTCACACAAGGGTCTTATGATATTTGAACTTCATGTGAGCACAGTACTGCTTTTATCACCCTTTAGCATGCACATAATATCATTTTAATTCTGGCTAAATAAGGTTTTTGCCTTTACCAGAGAAATATTTTGGCACAGCTCTAACTATGAGAGCAGACATTTCTTGAAAACAGTCCTCTACTTACATAAGTACAACCCCAAAATTTAAATTTCAGTATTAATAGTTTTTTATTATAACGCCCTGAGAGTCTCAAGTGTTGATCTTCAAGTGTCATCTCCACTGACATGGAGCTCTAAGTATATGAAGTATAATTAAAGAAAGATTTAGGAAAATTTCCATGCTTTAATTTTCTTTATAAACTCTGCAAATCGAATTCAGAGGGATATACACCACGTTCTTTAATTTCTGAAGTTCTCAAACTTTAGTGTGAAGAATCAGGTATCTGCAGATTGTTAATCTTCTTAAAAATTAAATTTTTAACAAACCCATAAAAGGAATTTTGATGCAGGGGGACCATGGTCCACGAGGTACTCTACCCATTAAACTCAACACCCTCGTTTCATACATCTTCTGATCAAATAACTGCTAGAAGTGCTTCAAGGGTTATGTATAGCCTTCAAAGATTTGGTCATAAATGCAAAGCATCACTAAAAATGGAGGGAGGGGACTGGACCTCAAAGCATGATGTTGGCAGTAAAGTAATTAGCGTATGCTTCTTGCTTCTGAAATAGTACCTCGAACCACATCATGGATAGAATCTTAGGTTTAGGCCTCTTATTTTAGAAGCAAAATGATGTTATAGCATTAATTTACAACTAGGGCAGATAATTTAGGGATTCAAATAACCATCTGGGGAATTTTCTGTTAAAAAAAAAAAGAGTTGACATTTATACTCTGCCTTGTTCCAAAAAAATGTAAAGCCACAGAACAGCTGTCTTGTTAACTGAAACTATTAAAATTCCAAAGCATTACTGTACTAATTTTTCTTTATCAGCACTTAAAAGTCTAAGTATTTTTTGTCAACATTCCCCAAATGGAAGTTTTTAGATGTGGGCAAAATATTAAAAAAGAAAAAAATCATTTTTGGAACCAGAGTATAAATCAGCTAATTGGAAAATCAATTCAAAAGCACGTTAATTTCTATATGTATATACAAGGTTCAAACTATTTGCTATTCATTTTATAAAAACTAAGATTTTCTCAAAAATCATAAAATCACTCGACAGATGTGGGGCAACTAAGAAACAGTGTGACAGAGGTCACCACTTTCTCAGGAAGGTTTTAAAAAGAGGATAGGGAGTGGCTACAATTTTGATCAAAGTCTTCGTTTTTATACAAATAGAGCAAGGACTATCTCAGGTGTTAAGAAACTCACCAAACCACTGTCAATATCCTGGTCTTGATGGACCCTGCTCCGCCTGAAGTGACAGCTTCAGGGGTTGTCAATTACTCAACTTACAAATCCCAAACCCAGGGTTCCAGATCCAATGCAGCACATAATCTACACGAGGGTCGAGGAAGCACCACTCGGGCTCACGCGTCGCGATAGGTCTAAACCAGTTGTCAATTGCTCATTTGTGAGAAGGAGTCGCGTCAAGTTTGTTAGGTGGGAGAGCGGTGTGGGCAGGGTGATCGCCCCTTGTTGTCCTCCCCCCTCCAACTCCCTAAACTCCCCTTTTGGCCCAGGTCAACCGAAGCCCAAAGAGCGAGTGACAGCCCAGTGCGAGGTGTGACCAGAGAGAGCGGAGTCCGGAGCCTGGAGCCCCCAGGGCCCTGCCCACCGATGGAGGCCGGGGGTGCGGCGGCTCCGGGCCTTCAGCCCGAGGGGACGAATACTGACCTGAGGACGCCGAGGCCGAGCCCAGCAGCACCGCACAGAGCAGCAGCGTCAGCCCTAACCGGACCCGCATCCTGCTCTCGCGGCCGCTGCCAACCCACGGAGCTGTCGCCTTCGCCTCTGCCACCACGGACACAGCCGCCACTGCCTCGCCACTGCTCTTCCTGCTCTAGTCTCCTTCCTCCGCCCCTTCCCAGGCCTCCCTGATCCAGCGCGCGGCCAATCCACGCCCGCCGCCTCGGGGTCTTCGCCCAATCGCCGTGGTCGCCCCGCCTGCCTCATTGCCCCGCCCTGGGGTCATCCATTGGCCAATCGTTGTGCGAGGTTCCCACAGCAGCTTTCCCGGTTGGACCACGGCCTCACCGACATGGCCCCAGTTAATTGGTAGCGTTAGTTTCAACCATCCCAAAATCAGACCGTGAGTCAAAGGCTGGGAGAAAAGAGACTCACCGAAGACTACAATTCCCACAATGCACTTCATGAAATTCCTTTGGTGTGTGTTCTTGGGAAACGTAGTCCATCGTGGAGCAAGATTTACAAGTGCAGGTGACTATTGAAATTAAGAGAATTTAACACCTGAGCTAGACATTAACTCAAGTCTGTGAGTCCACAAACCTTATTTTTTTGAGCCAAAATAAATATTGAGGAACACAACTTATACAATTAAGAACTTGTAATGTGTTAAGCGTCTCTTCCTATTTGTTTTATTTAGAAAATTTGAATTAGACATAGTGATGTGAGCACTGAGAAAAATGCTCATACTGAAATGGAGATTTTTTAAAAACTTAAATAAAAAAGTACCATAGTATATGGAAACCAGGGCGCAACTCAGTACTTGTCCTCCTTTCCCCGACAAAACAAAAAGAAATAAATCCTCCCAGTATAGATTATCTCCATGCTAGTATTCATTTTTACTAGGTCCACCAGATAATCATCCGGAAAATGTGCCAAGAGCCTTTGCAAAATCCTTTCAAACACTTGTCCTCATCCCTGTCTTCTTGTGAGTTGCATTGCTCTCTTTCTCCCTAACTAGAGTTAGGCGGGGTTGATGTGTGTGGAGGTAGAAGTGATAATGATTGCGTTGCAGACACACAAATACTCTATGTACTTCCAGGCATGCTCCCACTGGGTAGCAGGGCAGTGACTTTGGTGTTCCTGCACCTTCTTTCATCAAACTTTGTAATTTAGCTTTCCCTAGCACCTGCTCACAGTCGGCTCTTTGGCCTGGAACATTGCCAGGCCAAGTGCAGGGCTTCAGAAAAGTCCACACTGGCCATATATCTTGACATCTCTGGGTATTTGTCTTCCATATTTTTTGAGAGAGAGCCCTTTTTTCCAGGAAGAGGGTCACAAACTAACTGTGGTTCCTCATTGACATTGCAAGGCATGAAGGAAAGATATTATCTCACCAAAAAAGTTCTATTTTCTACTATAATCTCCTTGGTTCTCATCTCCATTTCTATTACTAGCAATGCTTCCCCAGAGTTCTTCTGATTTTAAGCCATAGAGTAAAATCTGGTATGTTTTTCTCCCTTTTTTTATCTTATCAATCATCAAGCCCTATCAATTTTGAAGTATGTAGTTATTTTTTAATTTATTCTTTTATTATTTACCTTTTCTCTCTTTCTCACTGAAAACTCCCCTAATGGTCCTCATTTTCCCTTAACTGAGTTCTAGCCATATGCACTGACATCATTCTTCCTTCACTCTAACCTAAATCGCATACCATGGCCATATTAATTTTCCTTAAACACTGCTTTCATATACCAATTGAAAAATTTTCAGTGGTTGCCCTTTTCATAGAAACAAAACATATTAGAACTCCTACTCATAAGGTACGAGCTTGTGCTGACAGTTCTACTCTCTGGGGGAAATAGGAAGAAACTTCTGCCTTCCATGGAAAAAACAGTGATTATCTGATTGGTAAGACTGGGAAAAGTTCAAGTTCACTGCTTAGCTAAGGCTAACTTCTTTTTTCAGTTTTGTCTTTTCAGTTTTGAGTGCTTCTTACATTTTTAAGGCCTGTGCTGAGTGCTGCATGGAACAGTTTCCCACTTCGTTTTTATTGATTTTCAGATTTCCGCATTAACACAATTGTGCCTTCCCATGGGCTCCCTTGCCCTCTCCGCAAGTGCCCTGGCTGCTGTTTCTTCACCACAGTCCTGGCATCCTTCCCAGTTTCACTGGCATTTCATCTTGGATGATGCTTCTCTAACCAGGCCTGTCCTCATTAATCTTCATTTCTCTAAGTGTCTATCGGACAACTTTGCCTTGTAAATGGATCATAAACTCGCTGAGGGCAGAGACAATCATATGATTCTGTGCATAGGTATATAGCACTGGACTTGCCACCACTAGCACCAGATAATTATTGGTTGGTTCACAGATATACCTTACTTATCTGTTGTGAGGGTCGAAAGAGAAATGCAGGAAAAAGGCACTTTCTACATTGTAGAGCATTTTACAAATAATATTTCTTATTGATTGTTTGGTTGAAGGAGGGAAATTAGTTTTATTCCCTTACTTATTTAATTAATTTTTTTTTTTTTTTTGACACAAGGTCTCACTCTGTCACCCAGGTTGGAGTGCAGTGGCATCATCATAGCTTACTGCAGCCTCCAACTCCTGAGCTCAAGGGATACTCCTGTCTCAGCCTCCTGAGTAGTAGGACTATAGGCATGCGCCGCCATGCACAGCTAACTTTTAAATTCATTTTGTAGAGACAGGGTCTCACTATGTTGCCTAGGCTAGTCTCAAATTCCTGACCTCAAGTGATCCTCCTAACTCAGCCTCCCAAACTACTGCGATTACAGGTGTGGCCCACCACACCGGGCCTCAATCCCTTGATTTGAAAAGGGTTCAGAGCTGCTATAGCTTTTGGCTTTAACCAGCAATGAGTAACTGTCATGAGAATGCTCATAGGTCCTGATTTCCTGGGGAAATTCCAAGTCTCCAAAGCAGGTTCAGAATATGTTGTGGGAAAGTCAGATTTACTTTATCAGCCTGCTGTAATGCATGATGATTAATCAGGAAAAGGTTGTGAATTCTCCATGGCCTTATCCAGTCTGAGCACACACTCCTCAAGGTTCCCTGCCAATAATCTCAGTTAAAGTTATGTACTCACATCTACTTGTACAAAATGTTAATATTATTTATTAATTGTTGGACTTCTTTAATATTTGCTCAGCTGCCTTTTTCAATCCATCCATATCAATGTTCTGGGTCATTGTCCATAGATTTCCAAGTTGCAGAAAACCTGTTCGCTCTGCATCACGCTACAGCATAAGACCCAATAGAGGTGAGTAATGGGTGCCTTTTTGGACCTGAATAACTGGACAGGCATCTTTGGGTACTATCATTTCACAGATTTGTTAACTGCTAGTTCTGAAGAAAGACTGGATTAAAACTGAATTTCAGTAAGAACTTGATTAAGTGAACTTTATAAGGTAGAGATGATATTGATGTGACCTCTTTCCATTGAAAGGAATTAAGCAATCAATAAAGGTTGAAAACCTCCTGAAAGTGCTGAGGACATAAATCCAGCTTGCTTTTTGTTTAAGGATAGTGAGACAACCTCCAGAGATTTTCCTGTGCATACAGTGATTATCACCATCTGTAGTGGGGTATATCTCTTCCTGTACTATTCTTAGGGATCTATTTGAGTTGCTAATGTGCACAGGCTGCCAGCATTTGTATCAAGGTATCTGCCAGGGCAGGATTAGGGAGAAGAAAGAAGCAGGATATATTTTCCCCTCAGGGCTTAGAAAAGAATGTATTTTCTTTGATATAGATGAGATGAATTAAAGTCATTTCTAGTGTGTTTCTTTTTTATGAATAAATGAAAAATATAAACTCTTTCATTATAATAGTGAGATAGAACCTGGCATCTCCTCATGTACATTCTGAGCTCTTTAAGTAAATGGACAATGGCTTTATACCTCATTGCATCCCTCATAACTTCAGGATAGTTAGTGTATGGTGGGTACGTAACAAGTAATCAAAATAAGTAAACTTTGGATGTTCGTGTCACTGTCCATGCTTATAAATAAAGTATTAAGTTCAGAGTGTAGATCACAGATGGAGGAGGAGTGTATTCGATCTATTTAAACTTTAAAGCTAAGAGAAGGTGAAAAGGGGAAAGGGGCCTCAGGCTGTTTACCAAGTTTCATCCTGAAGTGACATTTGCTTTGGAGGTGTTTGTTCTTTCCAAGCAGTATTGACTTACGCCAGATGAAAGGTGATCCAGGATACTTTTATACCTGAATAACTGGACAGGCATCTTTGGGTACAATCATTTCATAGATTTGTTAACTGCTAGTTCTGGAGAGAGACTGGATTAAAACTAAATTTCAGTAAGAACTTGATTAAGTGAACTTTATAAGGTAGAGATAAACAGCTTGGAGCTTCCATTAAATTCGGAATGTTTAATCCCCGAGTGGATGGCAATATATTTAATTAGTGACTGTTGCATCGGGAACATTATATTCATAAGATATCCCTTCTTTCCTTCCTTCCTTCATTCAACAAATATCTTTTGAGTACTATCAATGCCCTGCAGTGAAAGACCAGCAGAAATAGTCCTGTAGTTGAGCATATTGGCTTTATTACTCATTGCAGTGTGGAGGAACATACACCATAAGGTGTCTCAGTAAGAGGGTATTAGAAAGAACTTATTATAGAATTTTGGCTTTGGTTGGGTGATTTGTGGGAAGATCTAGGGAGCTGAGTTTGCTCTAGATTGGATACTGTTATTAATAGAAGTGCCCCAGCTTTCTATATTTTGATAGAAATAAATCAATAAATCGTAAGGGCGGAGAGACTGAATGAGGATAAAGCTATAATTGGTAAAGAAGTAGCAGTCACTTATTTTGGCCAAGAGAGGAGGTGTTTTGTATTTTGTGAATGGCACAAAGACCTTGTTTTTGTCTGTGCTTAGATGAAATGGCCTTGCATTGTCTCGTGGTATCCTGGTCTCAGAGTAACCTGTCTAAGGTTGGTATTCTGTGAAATTGCTTACATCTAACTGGAGAATAACATGGCCTAATTGTGAGTGCCAGGCTGGGTTTCGATTGTCAGGGACTGCTCTTTGTTTTTCTTTCTCAGCGCCTACTTTGTGGCACACCTGGAGTGTGGCTCGATTGCTGGGAATTGAGCAATGAATAAAACCGACAAAAAACCATGAAGTTT